TAGATAACTGGGATCTTCTAATATTCAAACACCTATGCTCTTCAAAAGACTTCACCAAAAGAGGAAAAAGAGAACCCACAGACTGGGAAAAAATTTTTGGACAGTACAAGTCAGACAAAGTTCTATCTCCAAAATCTACAAGAAAATCCAACACCTCTACAATAAAAAGACAAATAATCCTATTAAAAAATGGGCAAAGGAAATGAACACACACTTCACCAAAGAAGACATTCAAGTGGCCAACAGACACATGAGGAAATGCTTGCAATCACTAGCCATTAGAGAAATGCAAATTAAAACCACAATGAGATACCATCTTACCCCGGTATTACTGGCACAAATCAAAAATGCTGGAAATAACAAATGTTGGAGAGGCTGCACAGAGATCAGAACTCTAATGCACTGCTAGTGGGAATGCAAAATGATACAACCATTCTGGAAAATGATACGGCGCTTCCTTAGAAAGCTAGAAATAGAAATACCATACAATCCAGCAATCCCACTGCTAGGAATATATTCTAGAGAAATAGGAGCTATCAGTGGAATAGACATACGCACACCTGTGTTCATAGCAGCACTGTTCATAATAGCAAAAAGATGGAAACAACCTAGATGTCCATCAACAGATGAATGGATAAACAAACTATGGTACATACACATAATGGAATACTACACAACGATAAAGAACAACGATGAATCTGTGAAGCACCTCATAACACAGATGAAACTGGAGGACATTATGCTGAGTGAAATAAGTCAATCACAAAAGGACAAATATTGTATGAGACCACTATTGTTAAAACTCATGAAAAAGTTTACACACAAATAGTAACAATCTTTGTTGGTTACAGGAGATGGGAGGGGTGGGGGGGAATACTAAATAGGCAACAGATAAGTGGTACCTTGGGTGAAGGGTGAGACAGTACATAATACTGGGGAAACTAGCACAACCTGTACAAGGAAATGTCATGAAAGCTCCAGAGACACATCCAAAGTCCCTGAGGGACTGAATTGCTGGGCTGAGGGCTGTGGGGACCATGGTCTCAGGGAACATCTATCTCAATCGGCATAATACAGTTTATAAAGGCAGTGTTCTACATTCTACCTTGATGAGTAGCGTCTGGGGTCTTAAAAGCCTGTGAGCAGCCATCTAAGATACTCCACTGGTTTCACCCCTTTGGGAGCAAGGGAGAATTAAGAGAACAGGATACAAGGAAAAGATCAGTCCAAAGGACTAATGGACCACGTCTACCAAGGCCTCTAACAGACTGAGTCCAGTACAGCTAGATGGTGCCCAGCTACCACCACTGACTGTTCTGACCGGGATCACAACAGAGGGTTCTGGACAGAGCTGGAGAAGGTTGTAGAAAAAAATTCTAACACAAAAAAAAAGACCAGATTTACTGGCCTGAAAGAGTCTGGAGAAACCCCAATAGTATGGCCCCAAGACACCCTTTCAGCTCAGTGGTGAAGTCACTTCCGAGGTTCACCGTTCATGTGGGGATTGGATAGCTCCATAAAACATAATGGGACTAGTGAGGCACAGCAGTCCAGGGACAAGGACTAGAAGGCAGAAGGGGACAGGAAAGCT